TATCCATTTGCTGTCTTGGAAATCAGCTATGTAATGTAAATGATAAAAAAAAAAAAAATCTAGAGCTGTTTTGAAAGGACCACAGGGGACAAATCTCTGATAAGAGATTTTTAATCTCAGATGCATAGGACTGGATAGCTAAAAAGTCTCATGTGCATTTTGTAGAATCCGACCACTTAGTAGCCGGCCTCAAACACTGGTGTATTGTCATCAAAAGCAAGACAATTATAGGATAATGATGGCCACATAGCGTAGCTCTTAAAGTCCCAAATCCTCTGAATAAATACTCTTAATGAATTGTGTTCTTCATCCAGTGAACTATATTTTATTCCAGGCATAGTGTTTAGAAGAATTTCGTTTAAAGAGAAGCTTGGGTTTTTGAAAGTAGCAGGGATGATCGTAAGTGATATTACTCCAGGACAGAGTGTTACATTCTCTGAGGGGGTTTGAAGATGCTCCTGTAATGGCTGCTGCTGCTTTCCCCACTATTTGTGCATTTCCCTTTAATGCTTTGCATTCTCTAAATCACTTTTAGAGAGCTGAGGCAAGATTGTGTTGAATTGTGGAAAATTATTGAATGGTTTCCCGGTATAATCATCCTAATCTAGAGGAGAAAAACCTTAGGGTCACTGTCTTCTTGCTTTCAACAGTGCCATCTTCCTTATCCCTATAAATACAAGTCCAGCAGCATATCCACAATGAAACATCAAAAATAGCTAATTAAATGATACATGTTTAGAGGTTGTTTGCCTAAAAAAACAAAAAACCCCAAAAATCCAACCACAAAAACTCATATATATTTACATAATTTTGGAGATGCACAAAGTTTATATACTTGCTGTACAATGGAACGAAAACTTCAGCAATCAATTTCTTTTGTATTACATCTATATATAGAAATGAATTAAAGGGAAAAGCAGCTTAAGATTGTTAATAGGCTGACAATGAAAGGATTCCCTTTAACTATTGAACTTGAAGTGACACACCCATGTTGAGCTTATCAGACACACCTCCAAAGCAAATCAGTACACCAAGAATGTGATTTACAATTAAAACCAAAACAAACAAATTTAGGGCTTCCCTGGTGGCACAAGGGGTTAAGCACCTCACTATGAAGCAATCCGCAGCCTCTGCAGCACGAGTTTGATCCCCAGCCGACCAGGGAGCAACCCACATGGCGCAGCAGACCTCTCCTGACCTGCCTGCTGCTCCCCTCAGCAATGTACTTGGGTCAATCTGCCTGTTCTGTTCCCCACTCTGTCTCTGGTGGATCCTCTCACCCTCCCCATCTCTGGCCTGTACCCCAGCTCTTCTATGCATAAATAATTTTTTAAAACAAAAACAAATAAATTTAGAAGAATGAGGGCAATTGATGTGCAAGACATGGAATTTGACCTCAGGTGGAATGCAGATGCACAGTAATTAAAAAGTTCCAGAGGGAATTAGGGGAGTTAAAGGTGTATCAAAGAACCTTAAATTGTTCCGATTGATTGTAAACCTTATTACTATTATTTTTTGTACAGGAAATACTCATGCCAACATTATAAGAGCAAGGGAAAAAAAAGAAAGGGAGGCAGATTTGGTGTCTATTATAAAAGAAGGGTTAATTATAGTATACTTAACTGATAGGATATTATATTATGCTGGCTCTAAAAATCATAAAGATTCTTATTTAACGTAAGAAAATGTACAATATATGGCTAAATACAAGATGTGGGTTACAAAACTAGCTACGGTGTTATTTTAAGGGAAATACAGACATTCAGGCAACTTGTTTTCTAGTGGTTGCTCCTTGGCAGTGGTGTTCTGGGTGTTTTTTTTTCTCTTTGCATTTTTCATGTTTTTGTAATGTACAATTTACTTTATTGATGTATTTTTAGAAATAGAGGGTTCCAAATTGTACACACAGCCAAAGCCTCTCAAAACAAATCTATACCTACGACAAGAAGTTCTGAAATTCTTGCAATATCTAGAAATTATTGTAGTTCTCTTTTCACTTTTCTGATTTTTTAATTTGCCAAATCGGGTATATTTTAAAATTTTAAATACACTTTTTCTTCTTAACAGAGAGGCAGTGTTAATGAAATTCTGGAAGCAACCAATTTAAGGCTGAAGGGTGCTCTAATTCTTGGGCTCCTGCCTGTCGGTGGCGTTTGCATAAAAAGTCTCCCAAAATTCTAGCTGAATCATACATACAAAAGGAGACAAGAAAGGAGGTAATCACTGCAAAATATAAGGACATCGAGGGGCAGGGCTCCTTCTGAAGAAATGAATAAAGGAAGCGGAATTCTCTTCCCAGGCTGTGGGGAGGAATTCTTTATCCTCTGGTCCTTTGGAAACTTCCTCCAGCCCTCTCTGCTAAATGAGGGACGAACTTGAAGAGAAATCTCTGATGGCAGGGACAAATAAAAAGGCCTGACTGAAGGGAAATTGTCTCAGACCTCTGCTTGGGTCAAACATCCGGGTGTAAGTTTTAAAATAAACCCTCGATGAACTCTGTTTCCCCCCTTCTCGCCCCCTGATCTCTTCAGCCTGTGGCTTAATAGCGACGCCGTTTTGATAGCACCCCAAGGGTAAACCCCCCTCACAGAGGTCATGGAACCGTGTTTGCTAGCGCGCCTCATTCCTTCCGAAATATCACCCCCCCAAAACTTCTCATCGAAGTATTTGTGAATGAAACCTCTCAAAACTTTGAGCGAATTTATTTAAAAGAAAACATAAAAAACCTACCCCAAAGCTAACACATTTCAAATGAGCAAGGGAGGGAATCGGAATCTTAACTCAAAGACGACACAATAATAAATAAACCCAACAAGAAGCAGCTCTTTACTCTAAATACACCTCGGGCAGAGCTGCTCCCACCCGGGGTGACACGGGAAGTGGAGCGGGGCAGCCGGCAGGTTGGAGAAGGAGGGGCTGGTCAGGGACAGAGGTGCTGGTCAGGGACGGAGGGACTGTCAGGGATGTAGAGGGGCTGGTCAGGGACGCAGAGGCTGGCCAGGGACGCAGAGGGACTGGTCAGGGACGCCGGGGCTGGTCAGGGACGCAGAGGGGCTGGTCAGGGACACAGAGGGACTGGTCAGGGACGCATAAGAGCTGGTCAGGGATGCAAAGGGGCTGGTCAGGGACGGGACTGGTCAAGAACGGGGCCTGGTCAAGGAACGCCGGGCCTGGTCGGGGACAGAGGTGCTGGTCAGGGACGGAGGGACTGGTCAGAGATGCAGAGGGGCTGGTCAGGGACACAGAGGCTGGTCAGGGACGCAGACTGGTGGCTGGTCAGGGGACAGGGACGCAGAGACTGGTCAGGGACGCAGATCAGGGACGCAGAGGGGCTGGTCAGACGAGGGGCTGGTCAGGGATGTCAGAGCCTGGTCAGGGACACAGGGGCTGGTCAGGGACGCAGAGGAGCTGGTCGGGGACACAGAGGGGCTGGTCAGAGACGCTGGGCCTGGTCAGGGACACAGGGGCTGGTCAGGGACGCAGGAGCTGGTCGGGGACGCAGAGGGGCTGTTCAGAGACGCTGGGCCTGGTCAGGGACACAGGGGCTGGTCGGGGACGCAGAAGGACTGTTCAGGGACGCAGGGGCTGGTCAGGGACGCCGGGGCTGGTCAGGGACACAGGGGCTGGTCGAGGACGGAGGGACTGGTCAGGGACGCAGAGGGGGTCAGGGACGCAGAGGGGCTGGTCAGGGATGCCAGGCCTGGTCAGGGACACAGGGGCTGGTCAGGGACGCAGAGGGGCTGGTCAGGGACCGAGGGGCTGGTCGGGGACGGCAGGGACTGGGTCTTTCAAAGGCCGGGCGGTCATGGGCAGTTCTTGCATTTGCCGGGCACCGCGCAGACAGCATTTTTTTTCCCCCTTAAAAAAAAGTGCGGGGGGAGGTCACCATCAGGGCGCGGCGCTGCAGGGCGGCTCCTCTCTGCGCGCAGCCCACGCAGCTCTCGGCCGGGCCGGGCGACGCGAAAGCCGCCACGCGCGGGGCCCTCCCCGGGGGAGGGGGAGTCCGCGCCACACCTTGGCGCCACGGCGGAAACGGGGCCCCCAGCTGGCGCGGAGGGGCGCGCATTTCGCCCTGCGGCGCCCATCTCCCCCGGGGAGGACAGGCCCTCGGGGAGGCGCTTCGGCCGCCCGGAGCCGCGAACGCGGGGACACGAGACAGGGGCCCCGACTGAGCGGCGAGCAGAGCGGAGACCCCAATCTGCGGCTCCGAACGCTCAGGGCGCAGGCTCGGCCTGACGGGCCGCGCCCCAGCCCCCCCGCCCGGCGCAGCGCAGCCCCGCGAGCGCCGCTCTCCAAAGGACACGCGGCCCCAAGGCGCGCGGCCCCGCCCCGCCGCCATCTTGTGCTCGCGGCGCACCCGGCCGGCCACGTGCGCGCCGCGCCGGAAGCGAAGGGCGCCCCGACTTCCGGCCAGACCGGTTCCATCCGGCCGCGGCCCTCAGACGCGCGGCTGCCCCCTGGCGGCCGGCCGCGGGGCTCTGACCGCGCCCCGCCGCCATTTCCCGGCCGGCCCGCCGCACGTCCGCGTCTCGCGGGCCGGCGGGCGGGGCGGGCTCGGGCGCGCGCCCAGCGAACGTTCGCGAAGGCTTCCCGCGTCGCACGCGCTCGACGCCAGGGGCGCCCTGACGTGCCTCGGGGGCGCGACTGCGAAACGCGAGCCCCCGCCGCGCCCCGCCGCGCCCCGCCCGGGCCAGGTGCGGCTCGGCCCGCAGAGCCTCGGGGCGGGCGGCTGGGGCCGAGCCTGCCCGTTCCTGCCCGTTCCGTGCCCGTGGGGAGGCCCGCCCGCCGCCGGGGCCTGCTCAGGGAGTCGTCGCCGCGCCCTGGGGCCCGGGGTTCGCTCTTGAGAAAGGGGACCCTGTGTAGGGCCAGGAGGACACGGAGCAGGGGCCCTGGGACCCGAGCAGACTGGGTGAAGGAGAGGCCTGGAGCCCTCAGGGGCTTTTCAGCCTTTTATTGGGATTTTACTGGGTACACAGCAGGCAGGGGGGCGGGGGGGTTTGGGGGGGTGCGGGAGGCTGGCAGACCCCCCCCCCTCCCCCGCAGCAGGTCTTCACTCTCTGGGCTCTCCGGCCTTCTCTGGTGGCCTCTGCTGCTCTTTCGTTCTTGCTGTCTCTGCTTCTGCTCTCCTGGCGTCCTTGTCCCGGCTACGCCGCCCTTCCAAGCCCAGTCTCAGCCCAGGTGCCCCCTCTTAGGCATGCCCACGCCCCACTCCAGGGGCACCATCGGGCGTGCATGCAGGACAGCAGGGAGCCATCATCAAGCCTAATGGCAGGAGGGCAGAAAAGCCTGGTTCTTTTTATTTGCCCCACACCTGCCGCTGAGGGGTCCCTCCCTCGGAGCCGGGGGTCCCAGCTGCGCCAGGGGATCCTCGCCAGAGACAGGCCCTGCACCCTGATGGGGCACTCCCTGGGGCGGGGACACGGTTCACAAGCAGCACTGAGTGAGCATCGCCCAAGACTCCTTGTGCCCCACAGCCCTTTTGTTATAGGGCAGCCCCGATATTAGCTTTAGGACATCCTTTCCCCCCTAACACAGCTCTTTTAGGGGGCAGTAGAGGGGAGCGCCCTCATTGGGGGCAGACCCCATGTAGGGGGGAGTGCTTGATCCCCCTGTGATCCTTCCCCTCCGCCCTTTGCAGGCGGGAAACAGGCCCCAGGTGGCCGCCGCGTCCAGTGCTGTCCGCTGCACAGATGGCGCGAGCGCCCCTCGTCTGTGGCCTAAGTGCATGGAATAGCCGGAGGGGAGCAAGAAGGGTTAACGTTATACCGAGGAGAAGAGGTGGGTTACTCAGGCATTGAGCTAGGAAAATCCCCCCTGCCCCCCCTTCCCTCCCCTCAGTCTTTGCAATATTTGAATTTCAACCCTATGAATTTTATTCCACATGAAAAAAAGGTAAACTGTTGAAAATTACACTTGGAGCAGGTTGAGCGATGAAAGCAGCATTTGCATCGGGGCCTGACCGCAGATTCCACGTGAAACCTTGTACACGTGAAGTGCTGTGCAGATCTGAGGCCTTGATAATGAAATACTACATTATCTCTTGGCGATCTAGTTTGTATTTTAAACCTTTGTACAATGACCGCGTCTAATTCTGGTCTCTCTGTGAACACATCTGGTGCTTGACAGCTGCTTGTTTTCAGGACCGATAACGGTTACAACATAACCATGGAGCTGACCATAAATGGCCAAGCTGAGAACTCTTGGTGTGTGAGAACTCCATGGAGGGCTTTCAGGGGATGTGACTGTCTCCCAAGACTGTCTTTGGAAGAAATGCATTGGTATTTTTTTTTTAAAAGATGTATTTATTTACTTTGCATAGATTTTAAAAAAAGATTTATTCATTTATGCATACAAGAACTGGGATACTGGCCAGAGAGGCAGGAGGTGAGAGGATTCACCAGAGACAGAGTGGGGAGCAGAACAGGCGGATCTATTGAAACACACTGCTGAGGGGAGCAGCAGGAGAGGCAGGCCTTGCATAGAAGAACTGAGGAGCAGGTGCGTACGCGCGCGCGCGCGCGTGTGTGTGTGTGTGTGTGTGTGTTCACCAGAGTGTGGGGAACAGAACAGGCAGATCTACTGAAATGCACTGCTGAGGCAAGACAGGAGAGGTCTGCTGCGCCATGTGGGTTGTTCCCTGCCCAGCCAGGCATTGAACTCGTGCTGCAGAGGCTGCGGATAGCTTCATAGTGCTGCGCTTACCCTTGCACCACCAGGGAGGCCCTGGTGAATATTTTAAACCCCTTGCACCACCAGGGAGGCTCTGGTGAATATTTTAAACACTGGAATTTACGAAGTCGACTCTCAGTAGTCGGCCTTCCTGAGTTCTCAAGGGAGAAGAGTGCAGGTGGGGTGGGGGCTGGCTGGGACCTGGGGTGCAGCTGGCTATGAGAATGGTCCTGCTCACCTGTTGGCAGCCCATGGGCCGGGTACTTACACCTCAGGAATGAATAGGGGAACACTGAGGCTTTGCCTCTGGGGAACTGGTCATTAAACACCTATCCGCTCACTCCATTTTGTTCCCCACAACAAAAGCCCTGGGGGGAGAAGCCTAGAGTTCAGGTCACCAAGGGTTACTTGGACTCAGATCCTCCAGCGGCCTTGGGCCCAGACATTTCAGCAACCTTGTTCCCTTAATAAACTCAAACAGTAAACAGGGCGTTTTTGTTCAGTATTCCTCAAACATATCTGTGGGCAAACGAGAAGCTGGGGAGCCGGGCTGAAGCCCCTCTCATCACAGACAAGTGAGGTGACACAGGTGCAGGGACCTTGTCTTCTCTGATGGGCAGTTCGAGGCCCGTTGCATGTCAGGAGCCAGGAGAACTCCAAGATCAATGCTGGTTAGGCCTTTTAGGTGTGGGGTAGTATAGGAAGGACTTTCTGCCTGCAGGGCTAGACCTCACGGCACTCAGTGAAGACATGGAGAAAGGGGTTTTCCACAGGAGAGAAAGTTGTTTGTTCATTCATTCATTTCTGTAGTAAGTCAGTGGTTTTCATAGCTATATTGGAATCGTGGGAAGCTTTAAAATCTGTCTCCATTGACTCTGATAAAGTTCAGGTTTTTGGTAGACTGATTAATGGCCATTCCCCCCCCCCCAAAAAAAAAAAAAAAAGTCCTCCTCATCTCTGGAACCTGTAAATGTTACTTCATCAAGGGAAAACAAGCAAAAAGACTTTGCAGAGATGACTAAGCTAGGATCTTGAGATGGAGGTAATTTTGGCTCCCAGGTCACCTCAGTGCCTCTGCAGGGATCTTCACGACAGTGGGGCAGGGAAGGATTGACTGTGTGAAGAAGCTGGGTGGTGACTGCTGAGATGGGGGTGCCAGTGAGCTGTCTGTACGCCCGCAGCAGATGCCAAGGAGTGTGGCTGCACTAGAAGACAAGAGAGAGCACAAAGTAGCTTTCCCTTCAGAGCCTCAGGAAGAGTGTCACCCTATCGACCCCTACATCTTGGGGCATTAGGACCCCAGAACTAGGGGAGCACGGAATTTTGCTTTAAGCCACCCAGGGGGTGGTAATTGTCTCTGCAGCCCTGGGAACATGGGCAGGGAAGGACAGGCTTGCTGGGCAGTGTCTGGTAACACTTTGCCTGTGACTCAGCAAACACCCTTGTCCCTGTCGGGTCTGATAAAGACTACAGAAGGCCTGCCCTTGGCGCCGTCACTCTGGTGCACACACCAGGCCCCTCCTCCAGTGTGCTGGGGTCCAGGGAGCTGCATTTTGAAACAAAACATCCTCCTGTGATTCTGGTACGTGACAGTCTGCAGGTCCGTCCATCTTCTCTGCTCCCGGTACTGGATAGACACAAGAGATGCAGAGAGGCATGATATTACCTCAGAGTGACACCGGGTATCATCAGTGATAACACATAGTATTCCCTAATAATGGTTACGTTCCTACTCCCAAGGTGCCTATGAGCTAGCAAGAAAAAGATGCAGGAATAAGATAACGTCAGTGGAGTTTGCTAAGTTCGTCGTCATCAGCATCATCGTCGTCGTAGTAGTAATACATTTGTTCAGCCATTTTTTCATGCTAAGTGCCATCTCTCCTGACCGGCCCGAACAAATCTAGGAGGAAGGTATTCATCTCCCCTTTGAAAAGAGGGTCTTAGGAGGTTAAGCAGCTAATTCAGCTTCCCCCAGCTGGTAAGGAGAGAGGCAGGATTGCTGGGGAAAGGGCTGGGTAGGGCCTGCCAGCCCTCAGCTGACCTGAGCAAGGGCAAGAACATACTGTAGGTGGGTCACACCCATGGTTGTTCAGTGAGGCTGGCGCTGAGGTGACGGAGGAGGGAGCAAGAAAGGATTGTGGGGGCCTCCTTGCTGGCACACGGCGTTAAGTCTCTGCATTATGAAGCTATCTGCAGCCACTGCAGCACATTTCCGGCCTGGGAGCTGACCCACATGGCACAGCAGCCCTCTCCTGCCTTGCCTGCTGCTCCCCTCAGCAGTGTATCTCAGTAGATCTGCCTGTTCTGCTCCCTGCTCTGTCTCTGGTGAGTCCTCTCACCCCTCTCACCTTTGGCCTGCACCCCAGCTCTTGTATGCATAAATAAAACTTAAAAAATTATTTTAGGGCCTCCCCGGTGGCGCAGCGGTTGAGCGCTGGGTTGCGAAGCTGCCCGCGGCCTCTGCGGCGCCGGTTCGATCCCCGGCTGCTCCCCGGCCACCGGAAGAGGGTCCCACATGGCCCGCAGACCTCTCCTGCGGCCCACTGCTCCCCTCAGCCGTGTACTTCGGTCCTTCTGCCTGCTCTGCTCCCAGCTCTGGCTCTGGTGAATTCTCTCACCCTCCCGCGCTTCTGACTGTACCCAGTGCATGTATAAACAAAAACAAACAAACAAACCAGGAAAACAAATAAATAAAGCATGCCTCTATTAAAAAAAAAAAAAAAAAAAAATTATTTTATTTATTTCTGGCACAGACCCCTGTGCCACCAGGGAGGCCCCAATAAAATAAATCTTAAAAAAAAAAAGGAAAAAAAAAAGGATTGTGACAGAAAATTGGGGGCCTTTGCTCCCAAACTGGGGCAGGGACACTTCTCAGTCTGGGTCCTCCAGTGCTGGCCTGAGCAGCAGGGAAAATGTGCAGTTAAGTGGGACCTGTGTCCTCCCTCCCTGTCCCCAGCATGCCTGAGGCTTTCCACGCCTTAGGACTGGAATTCCTGACAGAAGGGAAGTCCTCTTGGCTGTCAGGGTCTTCAATCTAAGAAGTGGTGTGACGCTTCCAGTTAGTCATTAGTCATTTTCAGCTGGGAAAAAATCTAACTACTGCCTTGTAGGGCACCTTTAACCTTCCCTGACCCATCCCCCCAAGGGCAAGTGGAAAAAAGAATTATTAATAATTATGAATTAATTATTAAGGAATTAATTAAAAATGGATTAAGGATAAGACACCACTAAGCAAACTACAGACCATTTGCTGGCTCTCTGTATCCCCTTCTCACAGCAACCCTGTTTTTTGTTTTTTTTTAATTTCTTGTTATGAAAAACATTTAAAAAGACATAAATAGAAAGTAATGTGAGGAAACCCCATACTCTCATCATCCAAATTGAGCTTTTTTTAAAAAAGATTTATTTATTTAAGCACTGGGTGCAGTCAGAAGCATGGGAGGGTAAAAGAATTCACCAGAGCCAGAGCGGGGAGCAGAGCAGGCAGACTGACGAGGTACACTGCTGAGGGGAGCAGTGGGCGGCAGGAGAGGTCTGCCATGCCAGGAGGGACCCTCGCCGGCGGCCTGGGTTTGAACAGGAGCTGCAGAGGCTGCGAGCAGCTTTGCAGCCCAGCGCTCAACCACTGCGCCACCAGGGGAGGCCCCAAATTGAGTGGTTTTTAATGAATGGTCAATCTTAATACCTACTCACACTTTTTAGTTAGAAAACTTCAGGCCTACTGAAAAATGACAAGAATAGGGCCTCCCCAGTGGCGCAGTGGTTGAGTGCTGGGCTGCGAAGCTGGCTGCAGCCCATGCAGTGCCAGTTCGATCCCCAGCAGCTGGTGAGGGTCCCACCTGGCGCTCAGACCTCTCCTGCCACGCCCACTGCTCCCCTCAGCAGTGTATTTCGTCGGTCTGCCTGTTCTGTTCCCTGCTCTGGCTCTGGTGAATCCTCTCACCCTCCCGTGCTTCTGACTGTACCCAGTGCTTGTATAAATAAATAAATAAATCTTTAAAAAAATGACAAGAATAGGATCATTAATGTATCACCCAGACTCACCATTTCCCCAGCTTTATTGAGATACTGAGGCTGTGAAAGTTGAGGGTGTGTGGAGAGTTCATTTGATACACACATTGCAAAACTGTTGCTAACATTTTGCCACATTTGCTTTATCTTTCCTTCTTTGTATCTTTTTATTTATATGAATTAGTTGCCCAGATAACTTTATTTTTCAATTTGGGGAAATTAGACTTTAGAGAAGTATATAATTACATAAGACCCTAATAATTTATAAAGGTGGGAGGTCAGATTTGAATCCACGTCTGTGTATGTCATTATCTCTCTTGGAAAAACAAAATAATAGTGAAACAGACTGTGCTTTAACTGTTTTGAAACAGGAGTGGACACAAGACCTTCTCTCCTGAGTTAGGAGCCCTGTTCAGAGCTGCTGACCTGCCAGGCCAAGCTCCTCTCCTCTCACAAGGTCAGTGCTGGAGGTTGCTTGTATGATAAGGTATGGCCTGGGGCTTGGGCCAGGCCCAGCTGGTCCGCCCTGCTCTGAGAGTGACTTGGGAGAAGTAAGAGCAACTTGCTGGCAGGGCACTGAGTCACGTGCTTCTTATAATCCTGTTGTCTCCCAGTTTTTGTGCTTTTTATACTTTCTTTTGAACAGTCCTCTCTCCACCCTGACCTGGGTCTCGGGTGAGGCCTGCTGCAACTCTTCTTTTTGGTGGTCAGTTATTGGATTCTAGTATCCTCGAGGTTTGTCTTCATGCAGGTGACCTTGCTTCTTTTTCCTGGCTTCACTTGCTGGCGGTATCCTGGTCCTGGAACTGTAGACTTGAGTGGTGCTTTGACTTCTGGACTTTTCCCCTTGGATATCTCTTGACTTTCACCAATACCCAGAACACCACTCAAAACCCTTTCCCATTTCACGTTCCCTTCCACTTGCTGTCCTGTCTGAGACCCAAACATGGGGGCCACCTCTGGCATGCTCCTTTGCTGCTCTACCCCCCAGGCTCTGAGTTGGGGTCTTTCCTGTCTCCACCCTGCCCTTCCTCTCCAGAGAGGATCCAGGACACAGCCTTCCTACCTGGCTCCAGAGATGGGCTCTAACTGCTCTCCTTCATCATCTTGGTTCCCCTAGTGACCAGGTCAAATGCAGATCTGAGCTCATCAGTGCAAATCCAACCTAGTGACCCATGCTCTCCCTGACCAGACCTTCAGTGGCTCCTCCTGTGCTTTGAATCTAGACCTAAGTCCCCAAATGAACAAGGCTCAGGAGGCACATATATCTGACTCTGGCTCTTTGTAGGACAGGTAGCCCTCTCCTGCGCCCTGCTTCTGGGGCCCCAGCCTCCTGCAGTGCCCTTTTGTCCCCCACCCTCTACCTTAGACAGGCTCCTCCCTCTACCCAGCCCACATATCACCTGCCCATTCCTCTCCCTCTGGATCTTGCGCCTTCATTTTCCCACATCTCTTTCTTGAGTGTGCTTTACCTGCCTCCTGAACCTCCTCCCCAGCTGGTTCTCCCCCAGTAGCACCTCCAAAGGCGTGATATTTTGTCGCTGTGATTCGTGATCAGATTCCTCTCCTAGACCATGAAGTCCACATGTTTTCCTTCGCCAACACTTGCAGCCTAGGTGAGTGCAGGTTCATAGCAGGTGTGGAACAAATATTTGCTGAACGAATGGATGAGTAAATACTGAGTAACAGAAATAATGCTGTTGCTGAGGACCAGTATGAATTAGCAAATCACTTGGCAGCAACACTGCCATCTAGTGGTGGCTGCGGTGGTACCGCAGGTGGTGGACCTGGACCACTGGCCACCTCCAAGTCTGTGCTCCCGGCCACCAGGGAACCAGGACGCGAGTAATAGATATTCTAGATATTCGTTGCGGGTCTGTCTCATCTCGAGTATTGTACCAGGCACTTCGCGGCACAGCCTGCTGGAGACCTGAACCAAGGGAGTGTGCGCTGCCTTCCCCAGGTCCCGCGTGAAGGAGACTTGTGATTCAACAGCAGGATGCAGAGCCTGTGGCTTTTTACTGTGCCCCCCTACTTCTGTGCTGCTCCCTGTGTTATGAGAAATATACCCATAAGAAAATGAACCTGTGCAGCTGCTGCCTGAGCAAAACCTCTTTAGTGGCAGAAAACATTATGTGACTAGGAGGATGCCATGGCAGCTCTGGTTTCCTGGAGGAATGCTCGCTGCTTACACTGTGGCCGTGATCTGTGAGTGTTCTCAGCTCCAAGGTCTGGGATTGGAAGTTTGGGTACAGCGGCAGGGGGTGGGGGTTACTTCTGAATGGTTCAGGGACGCTTTCTTGACTGTGCTTTTTAGGCTTTCTGACCTTGTGGCCCAGGAAACCCTGGCCTTTCAGTCTCTACAAAGGTTCACATTTTAAAAAATTTTTATTTATACAATAGCTGGGGTACAGGCCAGAGGCACGGGAGGGTGAGAGGATTCACCAGAGACAGAGCAGGGAACAGAACAGGCAGACTGATGAAATACACTGCTGGGGGGAGAAGCGGGCACGGCAGGAGAGGTCTGCTGTGCCATGTGGGTATCTCCCTGGCCGGCTGGGAATTGAACTGGTGCTGCAGAGGCTGCAGACAGCTTCACAGCAGCGCTCAACCCACTGTGCCACCAGGGAGGCCCCCAAAGTTTCACATTTAAAAAAAAACCATTTATTTATTTATGCATACAAGAACTGGGGTATAGCCAGAGGTGCTAGGTTGGTGGTGGTGCTGGTGTGTGTAAGAAGAGTCACCATTTTCTATGTTGAATAAATTAAAAGGAGCTAGAGCTTCCATTTGAATGGGCAAGTTGGGAAGCAGAGCTCTGGAAAGAACACCTGTGGTGAGTTCTCTTGCAGAGAAATAGTGTTAAACCCGAACTGGCACTGGGGTCACCTGTGTTTGTTAAAGCTCAGGTTGCTGGGCGCGGCCCCTGGGATGCTGGCTGAGTGGGGCTAGCTAGCTCCCTGGTGATTCTGGGGTGACTGGTCCAAAGACTGCGGTTGAAAACTCTGAAAACAGAGATGTATGCCCTAACGTGCTGTATCCTTCTCCTGCTTGGCCAGCCTCTGCAGCACTGGTTCAATTCCCGGCAGGCCAGGGAGATTACCACATGGTGGGTCGGGAGTCGCCAGCCATCCTGGTCGCTCTTCCCTCGTCAGGGGAGAGCAGGATAGAGGGGTTCCTTTCAGACTCACTCCCTGTGGCTTTTGTCTTTTGCAATGGAATGGGCCTGGCTCCTCCTCCCAGCTGGGAGCACTTCACTGATGAGCCCCTCCCTGGCCTGGAGAGGGGGCCTGGTGGGGTACAGACCCTGCCAGACCAGGTGCTCAGACAGAACTCTCCTGTTGCAGCATCCATGTCTCGTCATTTCTTTTTTTAAATTGAGGTAACATGGGATTGTGATATGTAGTTTTCGCAGAAAACGTCCATTCCTGAGTGACATGGTGGAAGCAACCCAGTCGTGGCTGGGAACCTGGCCCCGTGTCTTCCAGTAGGGTTACTTTGGGCAGCTGAAACTTGAGGATTTGCCATGTAAAGTGGGGCTAAGATAGTGTTATAGGACAGGGAGAGGGGCAGCCCAAAACCCCGCAAACTTGCCTATTCTAAATGGGTTCTGCCATCCGCCGCATCAACACAAAACATAGGAGACTTTAATGAAAAGGAACTTTAATAAAACTAGGAAACAATACAGGTAAGGCAAAGAATCTAGTTTCTAAATCAAGCACCCAAAGTTACCCATCCCCTCGTGGGTAAAAGTCCATCCAAATGGGATTGGCCCAGAGCAAGGCCCCAAGGCCTGCCACAAGTCTAAAGCATCTTCCAGTGGGGACCCACAGAAAAGGGTCACAAACAACCAGACAAGCCCGGAAGGAAAAGAGCAAAATCAACATCAAGATAAAAGCTGCCATTGTCACCTCCCCACGGGTCTCACCCACATCTGTGTCACCCAGTCCACGACCAAAAGACAAGCGCAGTTTCTTCACGTGTCTCTAGGCTCCATGTGCCTCCTCCAGGTCTCCTGGCTCCATCCTGCTTCCTTCCTCAGTCTCTTCTGCAGCTTCTCCTCTCCCTGCTCAGCTCCACCTCCCTTGGGTGGGGCAGGGAACCTCCCCCTTTCCTGGGGACCACCCTGTTGCAATAGGACTGTGGGTTTTACAAAGTTACAGTAAATCAGAAAGTTTTGTTACATAAACTGGGTTGAACAAGAGCCTGCTGAGCCCATGATGGCTCTGATCATCTTTTTTTAAAATTTATTTATTTATTTATACAAGAACCGGGGTACAGGCCAGATGTGTGGGAGGGTGAGAGGATTCACCAGAGACAGAGTAGGGAACAGAATAGGAAGACTGACGAAATGCACTGCTGAGGAGAGCAGCGGGTGAGACAGGAGAGGTCTGCCGCGCCACGTGGGTTGCTCCAAGACTGGCAGGGATCGAACCCGTGCTGCAGAAGCTGTGGACAGCTCCACAGCGCTGTGCTCAACTGCTGCGCCACCAGGGAGGCCTGGCTTTGATCCTCTTTTCCTGCTTCCACTTATCTTGCAAGAACAGCAGGGCGGGCTTGCAGCAATGAGTACTCCTGCCCATTTGAAGCAAGGAAAGAAACCCCTTAAAATTTCTTTCTTTCTTTCTTTTTTTTTTTAAATTATTTTTAATATACAACAAATGTAATTTTATTATTATTATTTTTTACTTAAAAAAATTATTTTTTGTGTCAAAGAACTGGGGTGTAGGCTAGATGTATATGTGTAGGGGTGAATGGATTTACCAGAGACAGAGTGAGGAGTAGAACAGGCGAATTCACTCAAATACACTGCTGAGGGGAGCAGCAGCAAGGCAGGAGAGGTCTGCTGCGCCATGTGGGTCAGCTCCCTGGCCGGGGATTGAACTCAGGCCATTTCAGTGACAGTGCTGAGATTTAACCCCTATGCCATCAGAGGAGGCCCCCCTCCTCTTTCATAAGTTGACAAATTATATTTCTGAGCACAGGCCAGGAAGAGTGCTTGCTGTCTCCAGGGTGAGCTCTCATTGTCTGGACGAAAACTAGCCAGGAAGGCAGAGCTAAGATGTCTGACTTGTGGTAAGATGCGCATTCAGAAGCGAGGAGAGCTCAGTTTGCTGTAGTTCTGGACCCAAATTTGAGTGACACTGTGATGGAGCAGAAAGTACCCCATGAGATGCTACCCACTGGCATTTTCTAGATCTCTTCTTCAACCCCAAGAACATTGCCTGAGCCCTATCCTCAGGGACACTGGGGATCCTTCCTCCAGTCTCCTGCTAGGTCGCCTCGCGTTACACTGCTTCTGTTCTCAAAAATTCGGAGCAGAGATTTTGGCTTCTGTGCCATTGGGTATCCGATCCATGTTTGGTGAGACTATGGGGTTTGCTCCTACCACTGTAGGTGGGGAGGGTAGAGAAGGAGCTGCTGCTCTTGACTTGGAGTGTGGCACGTCATTGGTCA